ATAGCAAGACTCCATCTCAAAAAAAAAAAAAAAAAAAAAAAAAAAAAAGAAAAGAAAAGAAAAAGAAGGGGAAGGAGGGAGGAAATGAAAGAGAAACAGGGAGGAAATTTCAGTGGTCTAGATTGAAGATCAAACCAGCCACCGTGTTCGTTTAAGCCAATGCCTAATCCATAGCAAGGCTCTAACTCTCTTTAGTGTGAGGAAGCTGTAGAAGAAAAGTTTGAAACTAGCAGAGGTTGGTTCATGAGGTTTAAGGAAAGAAACCATATCCATAACATAAAAGTGCAAAGCAAACAGCAAGTACTGGTGTAGAAGCTGTAGCAGCAAATTATCAAGAATATTTGGCTGAGATCAATGATGAAGGTGGCTGAACTAAACAACAGATTTTCAATGTAGATGAAACAGCCTTCTATTGGAAGAAGATGCCATCTATGACTGATAGCTAGAAGGGAGAAACCAGTGCCTGGCTTCAGGACTTCAAAGGACAGGTTGACTTGTTTGGGTTAATATAGCTGGTGACTTTAAGTTGAAGCCAATGTTCATTTACCATTCTGAAAATCCTAGGACCCTGAAGAATTATGCTAAATCTACCATGCCTGTGCTTTAGAAATAGAGTAACAAAGCCTGGATGATAGCACATCTGTTTATGGCATGGTTTACTAAATATTTTAAGCCTGTTGATCAGGAAATTCAAAATACTGTAATCATCCAACAGTTGTTTTTTCTCTTTCTTTTCCCACCATACAAATAGAGCTGATTAACCGAGACAGTGAGATTATAGTAGAGAAAGAATGTAATAATTGCAGAGCTAGTCAAGTGGGAGGATTAGAGTTGTTATTATTTAAATCAACTTCCCCCCAAAATTGGAAGCTATGGTTTTTTAAGGGTAGTTTGGCAGGGAGGGAGCTGGGAACCGGGGAATGGAGATTGGTTTGGTTAGGGATGAAATTATAGGGGGATCAAAGCTGTCTTTTTGTACTGAGTCAGATTTTGGGTGGGATCACAAGACCAATTGAACCGGTTTTTTGGTATGGGCAACCAGCGCAGGTGAGCCCAGCTGGTCTGTCAAAATATAGGATCTGAAAAATACCTCACACCCTAATGTTTTATAATAGTGACGTCATTTGTAGGAGCAATTGAGGAGGTTAGAAATCCCATGACCTCTGTCTACATGACTCCACTCCTGAGCCATAATTTTAACCTCTTGACTGATTTGTTAGTTTTACATAGGTGGTTTAAGTCCCTGAGCAAGAAGGAGGAGTTGGCTTTGGGAAGGGGCTCATAACATCTTTGTTTTAAAACAACCTCGTGGCTAATTTTGTTAGTTTTACAAAGGTGGTTTCAGTCCCTGAGCAAGGACAGGGCTAATTTCCAGAAGGGGCTGTTAGCATTTTCGTCTTAAAGTTAAACTAAATTTTTCTCATAGTTAACTTGGCCTATGCCCAAAAATAAAGGCAGCTTAAAGGTTAAAAGCAAGATAAAGTCAGCTAGGTCAGATTTTTCCCACTGTCGTAATTTTTGCAAAGGTGATTTCAATACTACTATTCATTGACAAAGAACATTGTCACCCAAGAGCTCTGACCCAGATACACAAGGAGATGAATTTTTTTTAAATTTTTGTTTGTTTGTTTATTTTTGAGGCAGTCTCACTCTGACCCCCAGGCTGGAGTACAGTGGTGCTATCTTGGCCCATTGCAGCCTCTGCCTTACAGGTTCAAGTGATTCTCGTGCCTCAGCCTCCCAAGTAGCTGGGATTACAGGTGTGTGCCACCACACCTGGCTAATTTTTTTTGTATTTTTAATAGAGACGGGATTTTACCATGTTGGCCAGGGTGGATGAATGTTGTTTTCATGCCTGCTAACAATGCAGCGTCATTATGCAGACTGGATCAAGTAGTAGTTTGACTTTCAAGTTCTATTACTTAAGAAATGTCGTAAGGCTATAGCTGCCATTGATGGTGATTCCTGTGATAGGCAAAGTAAACTGAAAACCTCTGGAAAGGATTTACTATTACAGATGACATTAAAGACGTTTGTGAGGCCAGGACTTCAAGACCAACCTGGGCAACATAGTAAGACTTTGTATCTACTAAAAAGCAAACTTTAGCTGGGCCTTGTGGCTTGGACCTGTAGTCCAGGCTAACTCAGGAGGCTGAAGCAGGAGGATCGCTTGAGCCCAGGAGTTCAAGGCTACAGTAAGCTATGCTCATGCCACTTCACAAAGCAAGAACCTGTCTTAAAACTAAATAAAGAAATAATAATAAATAAAATAAAATTTTGTGCTTCCTGATTGCTCTTTATTCCCAAAGTACTCCATAGCATATTAAACCATACCTAGTGGCTTTAGTTTCCGTGATTCACAGTAGGATCTTAACTCACTTAAAGACAATCACAAATGATAATTACGCATAATATTTTTAAGAACTCATGGTAGGTGGAGGCAGCATAAGGTAATCTGTCTATCTTCCTTGCTTGCTTGCTTGCTTGCTTTTGGAGGGGGAACAGGATCTCACTTTGTCACCTAGGCTAGAGTGCAATGGTACAATCATTGTTCACTGCAGCCTCAAACTCCTGGGCTCAGGTAGTCTTCCAACCTCAGCCTCCTGAGTACCTGGGACTGTAGGTGGTGCCACCACATGCAGCTAATTTTTTATTTTTATTTTTTGTAGAGACAGGGGTCTTGCTATGTTGCCCAGGCTGGTCTCAAACCCTGGTCTTGGTCTCAAAAAATCCTTTTGCCTCAGTCTCCCTAAGTGCTGGGATTATAGGCATGAGCCACCACACCTGGCCAGTAATGTTTCTCGTAAGCAAAATGGCAAGTGGCATACAAACAGGTGACTCTTCTCTGGGAAGAAGTTAGTCCTGAAATCTGGGTTCTTAGTACTGGAAACAGGCAGTTTTTTGTTTGTTTGTTTGTTTTTTAATGTTAATACAGTGCCAGTTTATGAGTTTCATAATACAATGTTCATTTTTAAATAGGTTATTATATTTTATCTCCTAACCTAATTATTATTTTCAGCCAGTGAAAGAAGGAAGTAATAGTAACTGCCATTCAGGATAATCCCACTTGTTTATTTTTGCTTTTATTGTCTGCTATTTTGAGGTCTTATTCATAGTCTTTTCCCAGACCAATGTCCTGAAACATTTCCCCTGTGTTTTTTTTCTAGTTTTATAGTTTTGGTCTTACATTTAGGTCTTTGACTCATTTTGAGTTTATTTTTATATTGGGTGAGAAATAGGAGCCTATTTTCATTGTTCTGCAAGTGGATATCCTGTTTTACCAGCACCGTTTATTAAAGAGGCTATCCTTTCCCCAATGAATGTTCTTGGCTCCTATGTAAAAAATCAGTTGACTAGCCAGGTGCAGTGGCTTACGCCTGTAATCCCAACACTTTGGGAGGCCAAGGCAGGCGGATCACCAGAGGTCAGGAGCTCAAGACCAGCCTGACCTACATGGAGAAACCCTGTCTCTACTAAAAATACAAAATTAGCCGGGAGTGGTGACGCACGGCTGTAATCCCAGCTACTCAGGAGACTGAGGCAGGAGAATCGCTTGAACTCTTTGCTCACTGCAGAGGTTGTAGCGAGCAGAGGCGGCACCATGGCACTCCAGCCTGAGCAACAAAAGCAAAACTCTGTCTCAAAAACTAAAATATAATCGGCTAGGCATCGTGGCGTGTGCCTGTAATCTCAGCACTTTGGGAGGCGGAGACAGGTGGATCACGAGATCGGGAATTCGAGACCAGCCTGGCCAACATAGCGAAACCCCATCTCTACTAAAAATACAAACATTAGCCAGGTGTGGTGGTGTGTGCCTGTAATCCCAGCTACTCCAGGAGGCTGAGATAGGAGAATCACTTGAACCTGGGAGGCGGAGGTTGCAGTGAGCCGAGATAGCACAACTGCACTCTAGCCTGGGCAACGGTGCAAGACTCCGTCTCAAAAAAAAAAAAAAAAAAAAAATCAGTTGACTATAGACGCATTAATTAATTTCTGATACTCTGTTCCATTGCTCTATATATCTGTTTTTATGCCAGTACCATGCTGTTTTGGTAACTATAGCTTTGTACAGTTTGAAGTCTGATAATATTTTGCCACCAGCTTGCTGCTGCTTTTTTTTTAAATTTGAGACAGAGTCTCACTCTTTTGTTCTGGCTAGAGTGCAGTGGCACAGTCTTGGCTCATTGCAAACCTTTGCCTTCCAGGTTCAAGCAATTTTGAGGCCTCAGCCTCCTGAGTAGCTGAGATTTACAGGCCTGTGCTACCACACCTGGCTATTTTTTGTGTTTTTAGTAGAGACAGGGTTTTGCCATGTTGTCCAGGCTGGTCTCAAACTCTTAACCTCAAGTGAGCCACTGTGCCCGTCCAGCTTTGTTCTCTTTGCTCAGGATTACTTTGGCTGTTGCTATGTCTTTAATGGTTTCATACTAATTTTAGGATTTTTTTTACATTTCTGTGAAAGGCTGGGCGTGGTGGCTCATGCTTGTAATACTAGCACTTTGGGAGGCTGAGGTGGGCAAATCACCTGAGGTCAGGAGTTCAGTACCAGCCTGACCAACATGGTGAAACCCTGTCTGTACCAAAAATACAAAAATTAGCCAGGTGTGGTGGCACAGACCTGTAATCCTAGCTACTCCAAAGGCTGAGACACAAGAATCGCTTGAACCCGGGAGGCAGAGGTTGCAGTGAGCCAAGATCGTGCCATTGTACTCCAGCCTGTCTCTAAATAAATAGATATTCCTGTGAAGAACATTATTGGTATTTTGATGGGGATTACCCTGAATTTGTAGATCACTTTGGATAGTAAATAGTTTTATTTTTTAGTTAGAAAAAAATACCCATAAAAATACTTGGTGTATAGTAAGCACTTAATAAGTATTTGTTGAAGCAGTAGTTTCCTAACATACTGAATAAGCATTTCAAATAAAATGAATGAATGTTTTGGGAATTATTTCTACTCTGAACTCTAAGCTTTGTAATTTAATTCATTTTTCCCCCAGAGAGACTAGCTTGCAAAATTTTCCTCATATTGAGGTGGTTCGGAAAAAAGAGGAGAGAAGAAAACTGCTTGGACACACATGTAAGGAATGTGAAATTGTAAGTATTAATGTGTTACTAATTTTAAGTATGGCTTTATAGATAATAAATGCATGACTTTAAAATCACATATACAAACCATACTTGTTTTAGAAACCTCTTATTTGAGCCAGGCATAACAGAAGGAATAAAAAATATCTGGGTCAGGTGCAGTGGCTCATGTCTGTAATCCCAGCACTTTGGGAAGCTGAGGAGGTCAGGTCACTTGAGGCTAGAAGTTCAAGACCAGCCTGGCCAACATGTGAAACCCTGTCTCTACTAAAAATACAAAAATTACCTGGGTATGGTGGCTTACACCTGTAATTCCAGCTACTCAGGAGACTGAGGCATGAGAATCACTTAAATCTAGGAGGCAGAGGTTGCAGTGAGCTGAGATTTTGACACTGCACTTCAGCCTGGGTGACAAAGCGAAACTGTCTTTAAAAAAAAAAAAAAAAGTATTCTGACTGTGACCTGAAACATATAAACAGATGAAAAGCCCTTAGTTTCTCTTAGATTACGTGAGTCTGGGGCATAAGCCCTAGTTCTTATGACCAGCTTAAGACATTCATGCCATTTTTCTTTTCTGTATTTGCATTAGTTGTTCCCTCTTGTGTTATGTTACAGCAAAGGCTCCTATACATACACTATTTGTAGAAACCTTTGATATTTTAGTAGGAAACTTTACTGTAACATTTATGATTTTCACCAGCACTCTCAGGAAATGAAGTATACTCAAATTTTTTTTTAAATAATTGGTACCACTATAAGGTTTTTTTTTTTTTTTTTTTTTTTTGGAGACAGAATCTCACTCTGTTGCCCAGGCTGGAGTACAGTGGTGTGATCTCGGCTCGCTGCAGACTCTGTCTCCTGGATTCAAGCAATTCTCCTGCCTCAGCCTTCTGAATAGTTGGGATTACAGGCGCCCACCACCACATATGACTAATTTTTGTGTTTTTAGCAGAGACAGGGTTTCACTATTTGGCCAGGCTGGTCTTGAACTCCTGACGTCAAGTGGAGTTCTACCCACCTAGGCCTCTCAAAGTGCTGGAATTACAGGCACGAGCCACTGCTTCCAGCCAAGTTCTTTTTTTTTTTTTTGAGACTGAGTTTCACTCTTGTTGCCCAGGCTGGAGTGCAGTGGCGCAATCTCAGCTCACCACAATCTCCGCTGCCTGGGTTCAAGTGATTCTCCTGCCTCAGCCTCCCAAGTAGCTGGGATTGTAGGCATGCACCACCATGCCCGGCTATTTTTATATTCAATAGAGATGGATTTTCTCCATGTTGGTCACTCTGGTCTTGAACTCCCAACCTCAGGTGATCTGCCTGCCTTGGCCTCCCGAAGTGCTGAGATTATAAGGGCATGAGCCACTGCGCCAAACATTTTTCTTCCTAAACAAGATGTAATGAATAAACACTTAAACGCTTTCATTTTTCTTTTTATACATTGGATGTTGAAGTAGATGGTACAGACCTCCCTTTGTATCTTTGGGGAACTGGCTTCTGGACCTACTGTGGATACCAAAATTCACGGATGTGCAAGTCCCTGATACAAGATGACATGGTGTTTGCCTATAACCTATGCACATTCTTTCATATACTTTAAATTACCTCTAGATTACTTCTAATCCCTATTACAATGTAAATGCTATGTAAATAGTTGTTATATTGTGTTGTTTAGGGAATGACAAGAAAAATAGTCTATACATGTTCAATACAGATACAGGTTTTTTTCTGAATATTTTTGATCCACATCTGGTTATATCCATGAATGCAGAACCCAAGAATATGAAGGGCCAACTGCATTGATTGTCCTTTTACTAAATAGTCCCAGGCAGGTTCTGTTTCATCCTGGAATATGCTGTTTTTATTTCTTCCCTTGTTGTCCATTAGCTCTCAGATACCTGCCTTCAGCAATTTACTTCCCATTTTAAAATTCCTTTTTAACATATGGGCTAGAAAACTTGATAACCACGCACATTAAAATTGTATGTGACAGTATGACTAGATTGTAATGCAGGTAAGCATTGGCTGAAAATGTGCTCTTATATACTAACAATGGGAATATAAGTTGGGATCACCATTTTTAAAAGCAGTTTGCCAATACAAGCAAAAGCCTATAATGTGAGTTTGTGAGTTTTCATTACACAAATTGAATATATCATGATTTCTTAAGAATATGGTCTACATTGAATAAATCTCAAGTTTTTAGTTATAGCCATAACTCCATGATCTAGAACTAATCCTACTAGTTAGAAAAAAGCTCTTCTTCTAGAAACACTGTTAAGTTGAATTTATTCTCAATAATCACTTCCCATGCTGTCTGTTACCCAATCCCTGAAAACCATTATTGTATACATTGTAGTTTTACTAGTTATTTAAGATAGGAGGGTGAATCTGCTCTGTTACTCCATCATGACCAGAAGTAGGAGTGCCAGTCCCATGTACTTAAATACTATATGCTTTGCAGTTCTTAAATTTATCCCATTGCCTGTTCTACAAGTGGAGTGTGCAATACTCAAGTGGATGTGCGATAGTGATCGCAGATTTCACATATCCAAAAACAAACATATAATATCTGCCCTCAATGCCAAACCTCACCACTGAGTCTCCTATAAGTCCTGAGAGCTTGTCGTTTATTCACTACTTTTTTCTTTCACATCTCAACAACTTATGTATCAACAAATCCCATTGATGCTTCCTTCAAAATATATCACGTTTCCATCCACTTACTATCACCACCACTAATGCCCTGGACCAAAGCAACATTTTATCTTGTCTAGGCTATTGTAATAGCTTCTAAGTGCTCCGCTGGTCATTTTTTTTTTTTAACTCTAAAACTTTATTTTTTAGAGCAGTTATAGGTTCACAGCAAAGTTTTACAGAAAGTACAGAGAGTTTCCATGTACCTGTCCCCATTCTCTTTTGCTTTTCATTCTTGTCTCTTTGCAATATACGTTCAGCTCAGCAGTGAATGGTCTTTTTTTCCCTAATAATCTTTTTAGAATAAAAGTGGAATCATGTCATTCCCAGAATCTTTCAATGTCCTCCTATCCCACTAAGAAAAAGAATCCAAAGTCCTCGTCAGGACAACAAACTCTGATTTCCTGTTTCCGCACTTCCTCTCTGATTTCCTCTTCTACCACTCACCCACTTGCTTGCTGTGTTACAACAGCTGCACTGACTGACTACTGTTTCTCAAGTATGTTTTCATTCAGCGGAAGTGTTTCTTTTCCAGTAAGCCCTGATTCTCTAAGGTCATCTCATCTCATCCCAAAGCTCAGACTAAGGTAACAAAGGCTTATACTTAGGGCAGTGAGAACGAAGAAAAAGATGCCTGAATAAAGTTGTTTCAACAAGCTTCTTTAAAGCCTTTAATCTACGTAAAATAGAAATGTATTAAAAGCTTTTACTTCAAATTTAAATTCTAGTTTTAAGTTTATCACTTTCAATAGGTGATATCTTTGGCAAATTACCACTTTCATTTTCAGTTTCTCAAGTGTAAAATGAAGGAATTGGTTGGATTAAATATGTGATTCTGGGTGGCTCATGCCTATAACCCCAGCACTTTGGGAGGCCAAGACAGGTGGGATCACTTGAGGTCAGGAGTTCGAGACCAGCCTGGCCAACATACAGTGAATCCCCATCTCTGCTAAAAATACAAAATTAGCTGGGCATGGTGGCGCACACCAGCTACTCAGCAAGCTGAGGCAGGAGAATCGATTGAACACGGGAGGCAGAGGTTGCAGCAAGCCAAGATTGTGCCACTGCACCCCAGCCTGGGTGATAGAGCAAGACTCCATCTCTCAAAAAAAAATTTGATTCTGTCATCTATGTTCTATTAAACCTTAAACTACTACTTTGTTTTCGTTAGGTCTGGGCCTTGAAAAGCTGTACAATTTTTACATGCAATTTTATCCTTGTGTGCGTGAAGTTCAAGTTCTTTGTTTTCACAGTTGTGAAAAAATACTGCGCTTTTGATCCTAACTGAAACCTTAAAGAGAGAAGTCATGGAGCCTACTATATTCAGATCTAAATTATTTTTTAAAACTGTAGAGATAGGAAAATTACTTTGAAATACACATTACGTTCAAATAACAATTAAGAAACATACAGACCTCTGAATTTTTGTTACTGGTCTAATAAGGATAAAGAGTTTGTACCAGTGTATAAATCAGCTGTATCACTAAGCACTGTCAAGTTCAGCTGGCTTTTTTTCATCATTGTAAGACTTTATTGATGAACGAAGCATTTTATTGGTTTACATTGTGATACAAGCTCCTTTTCTCGTCAGTGAAGCAGACACTTCACAGACCAACATCAGCACTGATTACTATTAGTAAGTAATTAATACTGTCTGTAAGAATTAATTACTAGGCCAGGCACAGTGGCTCACACCTGTAATCCCAGCATGTTGGGAGGCTCAGGCAGGCAGATCACGAGGCCAGGAGTTCAAGACCAATCTGGCCAACATAGTGAAACCCTCTCTACTAAAAATACAAAAAAATTAGCTGGGTGTGGTGGTGTGCACCTGTAATCCCAGCTACTTGGGAGGCTGAGGCAGGAGAATCGCGTGAAACCAGGGTGTAGAGGTTACAGTGAGCCAAGATCATGCCATTGCACTCCAGCCCAGATAACAGTGTGAGGACTCCATCTCAAGAATTAATTACTAGTAGTATCATCAGTGAGTATTAAGTTTCCTTAGAATGCCGAATATCTTAGTAAATGGCTTTTGTTAGCTTCTCGTTTATAATCAGTAAGCATAACACTACACTTACTATTCTTCAATGAAAAAGCTTACCAGTTTTTATTATTAGTATTATGCAGATATGTCAGCAGAAGAAAGAGAAAAGAAGTTGGCTTCCTGCTCAAGACACCGATTCCGCTACATTCCACCCAACACACCAGAGAATTTTTGGGAAGTTGGTTTTCCTTCCACTCAGACTTGTATGGAAAGAGGTGAGAATATAGATTGTAACATTTTTATAATTAATTTTTTTAAATACGTGGCTGGACGTGGTGGCTCACGCCTGTAATCCCAGCACTTTGGGAGACTGAAATGGGTGGATCACCTGAAGTCAGGAGTTTAAGACCAGCCTGGCCAACATGGTGAAGCCCTGTCTCTACTAAAAATACAAAAAATTAGCCAGGCATGGTGGCACATGCCTGTAGTCCCAGCTACTCGGGAGGCTGAGGCAAGAGAATTGCTTGAACCCAGGAAACGGGGGTTGCAATGAGCCGACATTGTGTCATTGTACTCCAGCCTGGGTGACAGAGCAAGACTCCATCTCAAAAATAAAATAAGATAATAAAATTAAATACTGTATATTCCCAAGTCTGAACATGTACCTTTTTTCTATGGTTCCCTTTACCTTCTGCTGCAAATTGGGTGGTAGTTTTGTGACATAAAAACATTCCTAAAGATAAAAGGACTCTTCAGTAATTTAGTTGGAATTAGAGATTGTTTATATCACTTTAATGTGATTGTGTGTATATTATTCTGGTTTACCATTCAAATTTTAAAAAGCAATTTCTCTTTTATTCTATCATCAAAAAAATTTTTGTTTTTTGGATAGGGCCTCATTCTGTCACCCAGGCTCGAGTATAGTGGCTCACTGAAGGCTCAGACTTAAGGGCTCAAACTATCCTCCTACCTCAGCCTTCCAAATAGCTAGGACTATAGGCATATGCCACCACACCCAGCACTTTTTTTTTTTTTTTTTTCCTAGAGACAGGGTTTCACTATGTTGCTCAGGCTGTTCTTGAACTCCTGGCCTCAAGTGGCCCCCCCTGCCCTGACCTCCCAAAACGCTGGGATTACAGCCATGAGGCACTGCACCCGGCTAAAATGACTTTAAATAAAATAAATAATCTTACAAAAACTAAACTCACAGCAAAGTAATGTTTAAAAAGACAGCATCTTTTTAAATCTACTACTATGAATTTTGGATTTTAAAACCTCACTTACCCAGAGTGCTGGATGTTTATAAATGGTATCTGAATTTTAAAAATGTTTATTTGTAAGGTTGTTGACACCCAACTAGCTTGTTTAGATATGACACTTATATTTAATATAATTTGAGAACATATTCAGCTTTTAGGCTGTTAATAAAAGGTCATGAGTAGTAATTTTTGTTCTATCTAACCAGCAGCATAATGCTAAAAAAATATAGATTCACACTTTTCTGGTTTTATATTTTCTACCAGAGTTAAGACAGTTAGGTGTGTGTTCTGAAGTCTTCATGTCATATAACTATCTTCGGGGTGCATACTCCCTTAGCTAGGACTATCAATCTGGACATTACCGGTATTCCAGGCATACAGTAATTCATAGTCACTAAAGTCTAAAGTTTATTGTAATCAATAAACTTAAATGGTTTAAATGAAATTAAATGCTCGAGTCTTTAACCTTAAAGGAGCTATTTAATTAATAAGGGTCCATCTCACAGACCCTTTGTTGTAAAAATATCATTCCAGAGGAACTCATAAGAACATTTAATAACTAGGAGATGGAGTCTCGCTACAAGGCCTAGGTTAGAGTGCAATGGCACGATCTCAGCTCACTGCAACCTCTGCCTCCTGGGTTCAAGTGATTCTCCTCCCCAAGCCTCCCAAGTAGCTGGGACTACAGGCGTGCATCACCACACCCAGCTATTTTTGTGTGTGTATATTTTTAGTAGAGATGGGGTTTCACCATATTGGCCAGGCTGGTCTCAAACTCCTGACCTCAAGTGATCCACCCACTTTAGCCTCCCAAAGTGCTGGGTTTACAGGTGTCAGCCACCAAGCCCAGCCTAAAGGAGCCTCTGTAACTGAAGATTTTACTCTCTACATTATTGTATTCTTAGACTTTTTGTGTATGTGGCACATATAGTTCAAAACTCATTTGTTATTAAATGAATGTTGGTACAGACATTATTTTTAATCAGATAATTTACTCTTAGTTTTATGAAGAATTTTAATTCAGAATCACCCTGAAACGTGAGAGTTGAATATTCACATTGCATATGTACAATTTATTACATACCAAGTATTATACTTGAATGAAGCTGTTTAGGAAAAAACCATAAGAGATGAAATATATTACCTAAGCAGGGACTTATCTGACCTATTTATTATTTTTTGCTATTTTCTCCATGGTCCAAAGACCACCCAGTTACAGACTAAGTCATACCTTGTGGTTTAAAATACTGAGTTTTAGCTGGTCCAGAGGCAATAAGTTATCACAGTTGATCGTTCAAATACAGATGGAACTCCTTGTTCTACTCTTTCCCTCCCTTCTCATTACTGTACTTGACTTGTCTTAAAAAATTTTTTTACCCACAAGAAGATAAAATAGTATTGAATAAATGTCAAATGATAAAATTACCACCTAGAATTTCTGTTCAGCCTTTCCATCTTATAGAAACTATTCTTGGCTGGACACAGTGTCTCACACCTGTAATCCCAGTACTTTGGGAATCCAAGGTGGGAGGATTTGTTGAGCCCAGGAGTTTGAGACCAGCCTGGGCAACAGAGTGAGACCTTGACTCTATAAGAAATAAATAATAAAATTAGCTAGGTATGGTGGCGCATGCCATGCCTTTAGTCCCAGCAGTAACTCAGGAGGCTGAGATGGGAGGATGGCTTGAGCCCTGGAGGTGAAGGCTGCAGTGAGCCATGATTGCACCATTGCACTCCAGCCTAGGCAACAGAGCAAGACCCTGTTTCAAAAAAAACAATTAATTTAATTTAATTTAATTTTTAAAAGAAACTATTCTCAAGAGTTCTGATGGTGGCTCACACCTGTTATCCCAGCACTTTGGGAGGCCAAGGTGGGTGGATCACCTGAGGTCAGGAGTTCTAGAGCAGCCTGACCAACGTGGCAAAACTCCATCTCTACTAAAAAATACAAAAATTAGCCAGACATGGTGACACATGGCAAGTAATCCCATCTACTTGGGATGCTGAGGCAAGAGAATCACTTGAACCTGGGAGGTGGAGGTTGCAGTGAGCCGAAATCATACCCATCACACTCCAGCCTGGGTGACAGAGTAAGACTCTGTCTCAAAAAAAAAAAAAAAGTTCTGATGGTTTAGCTGCACAAGGAGGGAGAAACCTTCACTTTTGGAGAAGCTCCAGATGTTTAATTGTAAGATGGTTTTTCCAGAAGATGCAAAGTCTCTGACAGCTTTCACTATATTTCTGCATTCCCCATTAATAAGCCAGATTTAGTCACCTTTGATGTGGGATCTCATTGCTTGGTCACCAGATAGAATCAGACAGTCTGGATAAAGCCTGTGCTTGTACCCCTATGTGTATGGCAGAGCATACTTCCCCTGAAAATTACATGCTTAGAGACACCTTAGGAGATCAAATAATCTGAGGCCGGGCGCGGTGGCTCAAGCCTGTAATCCCAGCACTGTGGGAGGCCGAGGCGGGTGGATCACGAGGTCAAGAGATCGAGACCATCCTGGTCAACATGGTGAAACCCCGCCTCTACTAAAAATACAAAACATTAGCTGGGCATGGTGGTGCGTGCCTGTAATCCCAGCAACTCAGAAGGCTGGGGCAGGAGAATTGCCTGAACCCGGGACGCGGAGGTTGCGGTGAGCCGAGATCGCACCATTGCACTCCAGCCTGGGTAACAAGAGCGAAACTCCGTCTCAAAAAAAAATAATAATAATAATAATCTGAAGGGTATACACGAATTGACTACTTAAATAGCTACTGGAAAAAGTCTTTTTGATAAGTACCTGAGATTTATAATAGTAGAGGTCATGTTTAGCACTTTGTCCCCCTTTACAGCTACCTATGGGAGGGAGAATAGAAAAGTTTAAGAGCTCTGAATCTGGGATAAGAAAGAGCTTGGGAGTGCTCGCTTCGGCAGCACATATACTAAAATTGGAAAGAAAGAGCTTGGGCCAGGTCTCAGCTCTTCTACTTTCTAGCTTTGTGAACTTGAACAAGTAATTTAACTTCCTTGAGTCTCTTACCTCATCTGTGAAACAGGTATAGTAGAAACTACTTCAAAGGAATGTATGAGATGATGTATGCAAGCATTTGGTAAACGTTTGCTGCTATCATTATTAGTTATAAATGAGGAAACATGATAGTGAAATTAATCATCAGCATCACACAGCTAATAATCAGAAGAATGATGTAAACTTACAAAGCATCAAATAAGAGAAATGTTTACTGGAGATAAACTGAAAGAAATTTATGTTGCACATATAGTCTTCTAAGTTTATGATTTGTTTTTAAGGTTATATTAAGGAAGATCTTGATCCTTGTCCTCGTCCAAAAAGACGTCAGCCTTACAACGCAATATTTTCTCCAAAAGGCAAGGAGCAAAAGACATAGATGTTGAAAAAGAAACAGAAGGATGGAGGACAGTTTTTTCCTTCTTAGTTATTTATAGTTAAAGTTGGTATTAAACACTAATTTTTTTGATCTTCTGTAAATAGATCTATAAATCAGTTTTCTATTGAAAATGTTTGTGATATTTTGCTTTTGCACCTTTAAAACAACAAGGATGCTTTCATTTTGCACTCTAACTTGAGTTGTTTATTCACTTTATGTAGTAATACCTAATAAAATTTTGAAAATACAATAGTTGTAGTCTGTGATTTGTTGCCTTTCAGTTCTTTTCTTTTTACTTCCTCTTCCCTTGGTATTTACATTGAGCATGACTTCATGTTAATCATTATGGATTTTTATTTTCTTCATCAGTTGCACTTCTCTAGGTCTTACCAGTGTCTAGCATTTAAGTCTTTTTTTAAACAAAAAAGAAGGGGTATATTTTAATTGTTTATTTAAACTCCCCAACTTTTGTTGAATTGGAATCAGATACTACGCTGTCATAAATTCCTTTCAAGGTGTCCACAAATACTGACTTTTTCCTTTCCCGTATACTGTAAACATTATTTTCTGATCTGATCATAATTTTCCAGCTCTTCACCTGTTTTCTTTTCATTATACTTTTTTTTTTTTTTTTTTTTTTTTTTGAGACATGGTCTCACTCCGTCACCAGGCTAGTGGCATGATTTCGGCTCACTGCAACCTCCGCTTCCTGGGTTCAAGCAGTTCTCCCACCTCAGCCTCCCCAGTAGCTGGGACTACAGGTACGTACCACCACGCCCAGCTAATTTTTATATTTTTAGTAGAGACAGGGTTTCACCATGTTGGTCAGGATGGTCTCGATCTCTGACCTTGTGATCCACCCACCTTGACCTCTCAAAGTGCTGGGATTACAGGCATGAGCCACCGCGCTCAGCCATACTTGTTTTTTCTGGTGCAGTTTTGAGGTTGAATATGTTGAGTTCTCTGCCCTTTTGTTCAACTTCTATTGCTTTGTTTCTGTGGACTGACAAATGTTATGAACAATTTGGTTTCAAAATAGATTTCTCTATTTAGCAACTTTCTATTCCTCTAGGACCTAGTTTATGAGTCATTAAGATGACTGGCCAATCTGTGCCATCTTTTCTAGTGGCATTGTTTATCAGTTTCTCTTTTGTGTATTTCTTTGATCCACATCTGGACATAAGCAGGAATAAAAGAGACATTGAATGCAATGTCTCACTCAAATATAAGCAGCCTTATAAATACAATTGTTACTTTTTAGAGTCCTAAAATCTTGCTTAGTCTGGTCTTCCTTGTTAATCAATGTTCTCATGTGAATAAATGACATTAGCTTGTGTTCTCACCATAGCATAGGAAAAGAAATTATACATATTGATTATGTACTATATGTCAGACCACTTATTTACATTGTTTGGCTTTGACTATGATTTTGAATTTTTTATCACCCTATCATCACTTCTATTCAGCCCTTTTCTTCCCTTACCAAATTGTTTATTCTGTTTGGTTTTTGTTCTCTGCTGGTAGTAACTATCTCCTAAAAATAATAATCATTGATTGGTCACTTATTATATGTCAAGAACTGTGTTATACCCTTCACATAGATGTTTTGCTTTCAATCCTCAACCCTGTGAACTTATATATCACTTAATAAATAATGTTAAGCTGCAAAAAGAAACAAAATGGATCCAAAAAACAGATGAAACAACAAATTACTGGCTTTGTTTTTCTCACCTTAAAAAGTCTAGAGGTCAGCAGTCCAAGGCTGCTATTGTAGCTAGCTCCATAATGGCCTCAGGGACCCAGATTTCTCCTGGTTTTCTGCTCTTTCATGCTTTGTATTGGTGTTCGTCCTGCTATATGTAAAGTAGTCTATGCCACCTCTAGCATCATGTCATGTTCTGCACAAAAAGTAAAACGCACATGGCGTTTGTTTTTGTCCCCTTTAAAAAAGGGTTTCCAGAAAGCCCTACCTCATAACTTTCCTCACTCCTCAGAGGCCGGAATTACCCATCTCATGGCTACCTCTAATAACTAGCAGGGATGAAATTAGAAACCATGACTGCCTAATTCCAGAGTCGACTAACTCATCTTCACTGTAGTGTAGTGCTTCTAAAGGCCAGGAGTTTGAGAGACACATGAATTTCAACAAGACACCATACGATGTGTGATTGGAGCTGTATATTTCCAATGGATTTTGCTTTTGAAGAGGGAGCCTAAGCAGACAGGTGGGGTTTGTACACCTGATGGTAGCTTGACAGCTATCCATCCCATTTATAGCAGTTTTCATTTTCTTTTCAGTTGCCCTGTGAAGTTGAGTGAACTGAGGTCTCTCTCCCTTTTTATCTGCTATGGGACAACCCTACCTTTAAATGGAGTAAGGAAATAGACACATTTTAAAACATTTGAGTGGCTGGACACTGTGGCTCATGCCTGTAATCCTAGCACTTTGGGAAGCCAAGGCAGGTAGATCACTTGAGGTCGGAAGCTCGAGACCAGCCTGGCCAACATGATGAAACCCCATCTCTACTAAAAATGCAAAAATTAGTTGGGTGTCATGGCACACGCCTGTAATCCCAGCTACTCAGGAGGCTGAGGTAGAGAGAATCGCTTAAATCTGGGAGGTAGAGGCTGCAGTGGGCCAAGATCACATCACTGCACTCCAGCCTGGGCAACACAGTGAGACTCTGTCTCAAAAAAAAAAAAAGAAAAAAATTTAAGTTAGATACATTTAAATGCATAATGGCTGTTCATGACAGTGCACTTGAGCTTTAAAAAGATAGTGTGTATTAAAGGGCTTTATACGTTTGTAAAGCATTTGCATAATAGACATGTTAGATAATATTTTCATAAGAATGTATGTCATTCACTGGTTATATATAGTTATATATAATTTCAGCAAGCTTTTTTTTTTTTTTTTTTTTTTTGGAGACAGAGCCTCTCACTCTGTCGCCCAGGCTGGAGTGCAGTGGCACAATCTCAGCTCGCTACAACCTCCACCTCCTGGTTCAAGTAGCTCTCCTGCCTCAGCCTCCTGAGTAGCTGGGGATTACAGGCATGTGCCACAACGCCCAGCTAATTTTTATATTTTTGGTAGAGATGGGGTTTCACCATGTTGGCCAGGCTGGTCTCAAACTCCTGACCTCAGGTGATCCACCCATCTCAGACTCCTAAAGTACTAGGATTACAGGCATAAGCCAGCACGCCTGGCTGCTAGCAAGCTTTTTAAAGTTAGAGACTTCTGATTTAAACTTTGGAAACATGGAGAACCTGTATGTCAGCACTTAGCATTTGACTGGCACCTTTTCTACCTTTAGTAAAGAGATATTCTGATTAAACCGTTTGAAACCTAAGGTTGTCAAATGGGACAGTTTGAGTGAGTTAATTATGGGTACTCAAATATGTGTAGAAGCCATAATAATGTTACCTTGAGAGAAAAGCCAGATGAAGCAGAAGAATATTCCCTAAAACATTTCATGCAGTGAAGTTTTCTCAAAGTCCAACTGGGAAGGCTGCTGCCAATAGGCTCAATGTATTAGTAACTCAGTTTAAACTGCGTCTGGGCCAAGTGCGGTGGCACAAGAGCTACTTGGGAGGCTGAGGTGGGAGGATCCCTTAAATCCTGGGAGGTTGAGGCAGCAGTGAGCCCAGATTGCACCAGTGCACTCCCGGCTGGATTACAGAGTGAGACCCTGTCTCAAAAAATAAATAACAAAATAAGCATGTATTTTTTAATGTATGTAGGGCATTCTTAAACCCTCTGAAAGAAATAACTTTGAAAGAGGGCAAAGATTTCTCCCAAGGTTGCCTTTCTTTAAATATATATTTTTTTCTTTTTATAGAGATGAGTTTTCACTATGTTGCCCAGGCTGGTCTGGAACTCCTGAGCTCAAGTGATTCTCCTTCCTTGGCTTCCCAAAGTGCTAGGATTGCAGGTGTAAACCAGTGCGCCTGGCTCCAAGATGGTCTTTCATTTGTAATTCAATTACAAAAAAAGAGTAATGTTACAAAAATCAAATAACACTAGTTCATTTATTTAACAAATACTTATTCAGCACTTTACCAGGCACAATACTAAATACAGTGGTCAGAATTAGGCAAAATTTGACAAATTTTCTTTAAAGGAGCAAGCTTTTAAAGAAACACATACCTAAGAATCTTACTTTGTCATCTCCGGCATCTTAACATCCATGAGGTTAATTTTGAAAAATGCCACTGCAAATAAGCATTTGAACTATATCTCAGATTTTGCTATCCAGCTGTGTATTTTCAACATATCTAGCAGTTTAAGTGACATCTCAGTCTTTCTCTTTGCCAAGTTGAAGTGTTAGAATAGTCCTTAGAAAAGTGAAGTGTTGGCTCACACCTATAATCCCAGCACTTTGGGAAGCTGAGGCAGAAGGATCACTTGAACCCAAGAGTTCAAGACTAGCCTGAGCAACATAGCGAGACCTTGTCTCTTAAAAAAGATAATAACAATAACTAGGTGTGGTGGTGTGTGCCTGTAATCCCAGCTACTCAGGAGGCTAAGGTGGGAGGATCACTTGAGCTTGGGAAGTCGAGGCTGCAGTGAACTGAGATTGGGCCACTGCACTCCAGTCTGGGTGACAGAACAAGACCCTGTTTCACAGAAGAGAGAAGAGAAGAGGGGGGAAAAAAGAGAAAGAAAAAACTGAAGTGTCCTTACATTTGAGTTCTTTGGCACTTAAAAGAATGAAACAGTTGTCTGTTATCACACCAGAAGAGGCCAGAAGAGAGCTATTTTTCTTTCCCTTTCTTTGCTTTTTTTTTGGAGACAGAGTCTGTCACTCTTGTTGCCCAGGCTGGAGTGCAGTGGCACACAACCCCCTCCTCCCAGGTTCAGGTGATTCTCTTGCCTCAGCCTCTCAAGTAGCTGGGATTACAGGCACGTGCCACCACACCTAGCTAATTTTTTTTTTGTATGTTTAGTAGAGACGGGGTTTCACCATGTTGGCCAGGCTGGTCTTCAACTCCTGACCTCAGGTGATCCACCCACCTTGGCCTCCCAAAGTGCTGGGATTACAGGCGTGAGCCACTGCACTCAGCCGAGAGCTATTTTTTGGAGAAATAATTAGTTGGAAACTAGGGGCTGAGCAATGAAAAGAGAATTTCTAGGATACATAGGATATAAATTGGGTACCTTTGGCACAGTAATGATGGCTCATCAGGCCAAAAAGAGCTTTCAACATAGCTACTGTGAAATATAACAAAGGGCAGAGGCAAGAATTCACG